AGAGGTCCTTTCTAGGTGCTGATCCACCATCTGGTCTGAATACGTACTGGATCCGGGTGACTGCAGTGACCATCTGATCTGGATACAGACTGGATCTGGTGGCTACGGTGAACTCGGAATAAGAGAGAAATTAGCGTAGATGCCATTCTTCTAGCGATGTAGCAAGTGTTATGAGAAGTGTTCCCGGTTCCGGTTGACCTAATTAATGCAGCCTAAAAATGATTTAACGGATTTGAATATTAGAAATGTGTTAGTGTGTTATGTGTAAACCAGGTTAAAGAGATGGGTCTTTAATCTAGATTCTCTTTAATCTAGATTTAAACTGACAGAGTATGTCTGCCTCCCGAACAACGGTAGATTGCTCCAGAGTTTGGGTGATAAATAGGAAAAGGATCTGCCGCCCACAGTTGATTTTGATATTCTAGGTATTATCAAATGGCCAGAGCTTTGAGAACGCAGCGGACGTGGAGGACTATAATGTAACAAGAGTTTGTTCAAATACTGTGGTGCTGAACCATTCAGGGCTTTATAAGTAATAAGCAAGATTTTAAAATCTATACGATGTTTAATAGGTAGCCAGTGCAGTGTTGACAGAACCGGGCTAATATGGTCATACTTCCTGGTTCTAGTAAGAACTCTAGCTGCTGCATTTTATATGATACCTCTTCATTCACTGCTACGAATTGATGACGGTCAGATAAGTAAGATTTGAACCATGACAATGCAATTACATTAATGCCAACAAAGTTTTCTAGTCTATTCAAAAGTATGTTGTGGTCGATAGTGTCGAACGCAGCGTTAATATCCAATAGCACTAATAGAGAGATACAACCACGATCAGAAAATAAGAGCAGGTGATTTGTAACTCTAATGAGAGCAGTCTCAGTCCTATAATACGGTCTAAATCCTGATTGGAAATCCTCACAGATACCATTTCTCTCTAAGAAGAAACATAGCTGAGAGTATACTGCCTTTTCTAGTAATTTTTGACAGAAAAGGGAGATTAGAGTTGGTCTGTAATCAACTAATTCTCTAAGGATCATGTTGTGTTTTTTTTAATGAAAGGCGTAATAACAGCCAGCTAATTAGAGCAGTCTCAGTACTATGATACGGTCTAAATCCTGACTGGAAATCCTCACAGATACCATTTTTCTCTAAGAAGGAATATAATTGTGAGGATACTATCTTTTCTAGTATCTTGGACAGAAAAGGGAGATTCGAGATCGGTCTGTAATTAACTAGTTCTTTGGGGTCAAGTTGTGTTTTTTTGATGAGAGGCTTAATAACAGCCAGTTTGAAGGTTTTGGGGACATATCCTAAAGACAGTGATGAATTAATAATAGTCAGAAGAGGATCTATGACTTCTGGAAGCACCTCTTTTAGGAGCTTAGATGGAATAGGGTCTAACATACATGTTGTTGGTTTAGATGATTTAACAAGTTTATACAATTCTTCCTCTCCTATAGTAGAGAATGAGTGGAATTGTTCCTCAGGGGATCTATAGCAAGCTATCTGATGCGTTACTGTAGCTGACGGCTGCATGGTTACAATTTTATCTCTAATAGTATCGATCTTGGAAGTAAAGTAGTTCATAAAGTCATTACTGCTGTGCTGTTGGGGAGTATCAACACTTGTTGATGCTTTATTTTTCGTTAGTTTAGCCACTGTATTGAACAAATACCTGGGGTTGTGTTTGTTTTCTTTAAAAAAAGACAAAAAGTAAGCAGATCTAGCAGTCTTATGCTTTTCTGTAGGGTAGGGTACTTTCTCTTCAAGCAATACGAAATACCTCTAGTTTTGTTTTCCTCCAGCTGCTCTCCATTTTCCGGGCTGCTCTCTTTAGGGTGCGAGTGAACTGTAAAGATGGCTGCGCATGTGTTTCTCTGGTGCATGAGGTCTATACACTCCGAATTTAATTCACAATGTTTCTCAAATTCCAGTTCAGAGGGCAGTTGCATAAACATAGCCCCTCTGTTAAGATCGACTGACCAGCTAGCAGTTTGCCAAGGGATAACCAGTCTTACTTTTCGGATTCAAATTCGACCAATCCACTTGTCTTGAAGAAAAAAGAAATTAGATGACTAACTTTTAATGACTAGTCCTGAAGTCCTGAACTGAGGAACTAAAACTGAAATTCAAACCAAGTAGAATAATTGATATCTTATAAGTAACATTAATAAGCGATTTTTTTTTTGTAAAAAGAAGCATGTCAAAAATGATAGCCTTGTTTGAACATTTAACGAAAGTTTGTGGTCCTTTCTTGGGCTTACAGACAGACAGAGGGTTTATATTGACATGCTGATGAACACTTAATTTCCCAGAATGCCACGAGCTGCTGGATTTCTCAGAAGTTCAGTTAAAGTTCAGGTCTGGCCATCTGAGGAACTGTACATCTCTGAATGGGGAAATCACAAAATCTCAAGAACTCTGACTCACATTTCAGTAAACCAGCAATAAAATACAACAACTGTGTTTTTTCATTCAGCTGGCTCCAGCCAATGCAGCATCATTTATACATGTAATTATTTAATAAGCATCCGTGTCTCTTTTATCATTTCATACATTTTGCCAAAGCCACTGGAGGCTATAAGTCATAGATGATCGGTGAACACTGCTCTCATCTGAGGCTCTGAATGACTCTCAGCGCTTCAGCAATAGATCAAGAGAAGCTCAACTAGACTGAAAAGTGACTAGAGAGGAAAAAAATGACTTCAAATACCAGAAACACAGTGGAAATTAAGCTAAAGGTTTTACTAAGCTCTGCTTCAGATTTGAGGATGTTTCTCCCAATGCTCCCACAATGCATTCTGGTAATTTTACCGTGATTAAGGGGGCTGTAGGGCTCTTATTTACCCCGGTTGAGTGGATGAGATCTCTTTATATTGTGCTGCAGCTGATGCTGTCCTTCATGCTCTCCACAGCAGTTTGACCAGCGTCTGCTGCCACCTGCTGCTCACTGCATCCGTCTGCTCTCAAGCGTCTCACTCTTCCATCAGCAGTCGTCCGTGTTTTTGGAGCAGGAATGATTGTGTTTGTTCTCAAAGCCTACTTCTACAAGAAAATAAGAATAAAATCAAGTGCTAGAGCCGTGACAGCATCACAGCAAAATATGGCAGTGCCTGATTATATGATTATACTGGCATAAGAGGATTGTTCGGGGGGTGTGTGATCTCTCTCGCACGCGCACGCGCACACACACACACACACACACACACACACACACACACACACACACTCTCTCTCTCACACACACACACCCTCTCTCTCTCTCTCTCACACACACACACACAC